TCTAAGGAGACATACAAACATAACGTATCTGTATATTGAGGCTAGTAGTCGTGAGTAAATCAATATACCGGGTATACAAAAGCCAAACTTAAATGAAACTTTCTTTAGGGTGTTGGTCTGTTCGGTGAGTGGTATGCAAGGCAGGATGTCTGGGGAGGGGGTTGTGTGCCAAGTCGAGGGACCCCTGTCCTTGAGGTCCACTCTGCTTGTCTGTAGGTCCCTAAATCTTTGGGTAATAAAAGTTGGAGTGCTGGCCTCCCTTGTTATCTGTGTGTGTGTGTGTGTGTATGGGGTCACTAACCCCCCTTTTGTGCCTCTCATACCAGGCTCGGCCTTGTCTCAGGCCACCTGGAATTTAAGCTCTGTGATATGTGCATGTGTGATCCTACACTCATTAGAGTCGTTTCTGTTCGCACCCACAGTGGGGTGTGATAAAAGTATGCCACTGTGATATATAACCCTAGATAAAGATGAAACCCACCTTTGTTCCCCTATCCTTCATCCTTCCCAACCTAGGGAGTGCCAATTAGTTTAAAAGTTGGGCCCAGGTGCAATAACTCAGGATGGAATGTTCTGCAAAGACAATAGTATCTCTGAAATATGCAGTAACCCAAGTCCTCCTGAAGGTCCTACAATTGCTTCGAATAATCTGTGCCCACTGCCTCAATACTTGTTATTGTGTGCATGTGTGTGTCCAGTGTTACAACTTGCATTGCTTTGTATGCTGTATGTCTGTCTGAGAGGGCTTGGCTCTGTGTGTTGTCTGTTTGTTTCACTTTTGTTTGCTACTCAGGGAGTTATTCTTTGTTAGCCTGTGTTTTGTTTATTTTGCCCTGGGTCACATCCAAAGTCTATCATCAGTGTGCTGTAAGGGAAAGATTGTATATAGAGCTGAATTACTGTTGTTTCTTAGTCCAAATAGAAAATAAAAATATTCGCTACATATACAGTATTGTCAGAAACCTCAGCCTCAGTCGCAGGTCATGGGCCCTGCAGGATGATGACCCAAAAACATACAGCTAAAAGCACTCAAGAATGGGTGAGAAAAAAACATTGAATTATTCTTAAATGGTCCTACATGAGCCCAGATCTTAATCCTATTGAACATCTATGGAAAGATCTAAAAATTGCAGTGTGGAGACGCCACCCTTCAAACCTAAGACAGCTTGAGCAGTTTGGTCAGGAGGAGTGAGCCAAACTACCTTTTGGCAAATGCAGACGTCTCATTGTGAAGTACAGAGATCGCTCATTGGCAGTGATTGCTGCAAAAGGTGGTGCCACTAAATATTAAACTAAGGGTACCATCTTTTTTGTCTGTGCCATTTTCATGTTACATTATGTAAAATATTATAAACGAATTAATAATCAAAAGCAAAGTCTGATTTGTGTTAAATATGGAATAAACAATAAGGGATGCCAATAAACTTTTGACGATAGTTGTTTTTTTGTGGAAGAGGGGCAAGGAGCATGCACTGATTACAGTGTGTAAGGAGCATACACTGATTACAGTGTGTAAGGAGCAGGCACTGATTACAGTGTGTAAGGATCATGCACTGATTACAGTGCGTAAGGAGCAGGCACTGATTACAGTGCGTAAGGATCATGCACTGATTACAGTGTGTAAGGATCATGCACTGATTACAGTGTGTAAGGAGCAGGCACTGATTACAGTGCGTAAGGAGCATGCACTGATTACAGTGCGTAAGGATCATGCACTGATTACAGTGCGTAAGGAGCAGGCACTTATTACAGTGCGTAAGGAGCATGCACTGATTACAGTGCATAAGGAGCATGCACTGATTACAGTGTGTAAGGAGCAGGCACTGATTACAGTGCGTAAGGATCATGCACTGATTACAGTGTGTAAGGAGCAGGCACTGATTACAGTGCGTAAGGATCATGCATTGATTACAGTGTGTAGGGAGCATGCACTGATTACATTGTGTAAGGAGCATACACTGATTACAGTGCGTTGCTGTACCCGCCGCATGACAAACCACCTCAGGGGTGAGAACCTGAGTGCAGACATGTGGCAGGTGATACCTCAGCACCACACTAGTCCACATGGACCAGTGTGTGTTTTTTTTCTGGTGACTGGAGTGCTAATCCTCCCACCAACCCCCAAGTTTTTCCCTGCAAGTTGGAGGACCTCCTTATAGGGCTTGATGTAGATTAACATCATACCCAGGATGAAGCAATTGCAGGTTAAGGGCCTTGCTCAAGGGCCCAATGGAGTAGGACGACTCCGGGCATTCATGGGATTTGAACAAATAACCTTCCAGTTGCTGGCACAGATCCTTAGCCTCAGAGCCAACACTCTACCCTTTGTGGAAGGATACCAACAAGTTTGTCCAGGTCAGTATGTTTAATA